CTGTCAGGCACAGCAGGCAGCTCAAAGACCACAGAGCAGGCTCTGATAACAAGGACATGTGCTGCTGAACACTGTCTGCACCCTGGGAAGGAGGTGAAAGGCTACGACATGTCTGAGAGCAGAAGCCCCCACCCAGACACTCCTCCAGTCCAGAGGGAGCAGCCCTGGGCTTTGACTCTGCTGCACAGTGCCCAAATCCTAATAACAGCAGGGAGTCACTGCTCCAGCTGACCATGGGGTCTTCTAGAGGGAAGGCCAGGCTCAAAGGCTCACCAAGATCCCAGATCCCTGAGGGCAGAGGTCACTACCAGGTCTACAAACCCCTAAGTGAGGTCACAGTGACAGCATCTACAGTTGAGAAACTGGATGGGAACATCCATGCCCCTCTCTCAGCTGTGGATGATCATAACCTGAGCACTCCTCACCTTTTCCAGGTATGGAGCACACACTGCTAATGGATAGAGAAATCTGAGTCATCTCAAGTTACCATATTGGATAAACAGGAAAGTGGGGTGGGGGGAGAAAAATCAGGCTCTGCTCCTGTTCCCAAGGAACAGGTGCCTTCTCCTCCCACCTCCAAGCCCAGCCTGGCCTCGGGGTTGCATCTCTCTTTACCCTGGTATAACCAAGCATGGAAAGAGCTACACAAGGGTTCCTGAAATGCCTGCAGGGTGTCAGAGCTGTGAGCCAGGGCCGTGACCTCGGCCACCTTCAGGAGCCCCTGCATTTAACACAGGAGAGGAAAGCAGGAGGGCAGAGCCGAGCATGAAGGTGCTCTGTGGGGTGAGAATGCCATCCCACAGTGGCTCCCAGGCCAGCATTCCTGCAGGGAGTGGGGATCCATACCGTTGAGCAGGGTGCCAAAGTGGAGCACTTGCAGGTACTCTGCCTCACGCATGAAGCCCTTCAGCGGAGTGGCCCAGCCTTCGCTCAGCACCTGCACCCACTGCAGATCCAGCTGCAAAACAAACCCACAGGGCACTCCTGTCACACTCCTGTAGGGTCA